CCGAGCTTGAGGAACGATGCTGTCAGGTGCGTTGCCACTGCAGAAGGGGAAGGGGTGCGGCTGATCCGTGGCCCCTCATTTGGATTGCACAAGCTCTTCAATCAGGCACTGGATCTCATAGGTCCAGTCCGAATGGTGTGAGTTCGCTTTGCCCTGCGCTCACCTCCATTCTACTCGGTGCATGAGTGAGCTCCTGCTCCCTACAGGAGTGGACCTTACGGAGGCGCTGTTGATCAAGCTCGAGGGGATACCGGGATATCCCCCGTCCTTCGTGTATAACCAATAGGCGAATGGTATCAAACCGACCCCTCGATTCGGCACAAAAGGACATCAACTGTAGATCACCGCAGAAAACCCGTGCTGAGGATCACTCACGCAGGCTTCTGCGCTGACATTGAGGAGGGGAGGTGTTCTTGGAAGCTGGTCGAACGTGTGGTTTCTTGGAAGCTGGTCATAGTTGGAACATCTCACACGTCAAAAGAACAATCACAGGAACGATGCAACATGGCATGCATTTCTTGAAATGGATTGCATGTGAGTTTGAATTACGGGAGGTTTCTCTCCACAGACGGTTTCACCTGCCTGCGTGGCTACCCTTCTGAGGATGTTGACCCCAGAACTGATCATGAAGAGGTAGAACTGATCATGTATTGTGTGATGCGTTGTATCATGATTTATCAAAGTTTATAGCAGAAGGGTTCATGTAAAGCTTCCCTAGCCCGCAGGAAAAACACACCACTTCCCAAGCCCTGAGGAATCTTGCCCATGCCACATAAGGGAGGATCTTTGTGGTGAGCCTGGCTGCGGTCTTGTGTTTCTCCCACCGTTTCGACTTTCTCCCAGTCCCTTCGGTGGAGGAGGCGCTGGAAGATGAGGGTGAGTTGAAGACGTCCAACAGCTCAGTGGAAAGTGGGCCAACGTGCTTCCAGATTAAAGGGGAATGAAAGCAGAAACAAACTAGGAAGCACATCACTCATGTGTTAAGCAGGTTGTGTTGGGATGAACTTCCTCCAAACCTTCCGGACAGGGGAGAGATTGAAACAGTCGCGAGCTCCATGGTAGAGGATTGAACTTTGTTTCCCTACCAGCTTTCAGGGAGCCCATTCATACAAACTTGAAATGACAAAAATAGCCTTCGAAGTGGGGAGCAGCAGCTTTCCCGTGGTGTATCATGAATTTGCCCTTCCGCGGGAGGTTACTTTGGACTCTGACACTGATTCAGTAAATTTCCCCCAAAAGTTTGTTCATAAGCTTTGGATAGTCAGTGTTGAAGTGTTTTTTCTTGAATAGCTTGTTTGGTGTCCAAAAGCAATGCAGCAACACATTCAAGGCGGGAACAATGTTTGCAAGCGTTATGTCATGAATGCCGCAAAGATTCAAGAAGGGAACCATGCTTTTATGTGTTTTGTAATGTATGCTGCAAAGCAACAAGGACCAAACCAAGAGCTTAACACTACATGTGTAAATGTGTCCACTAAAAGTTTAGATGTGCACTTTGCAAAGGATACATGAAGTGTTCAAAAGAACAGTGCTCACTTAATTCTTACATTTACATGGGTGCAAAACATCGCGGGCGTTATTGACAAGGACCAACTTGAGGTGTTAAAAGTTGACAAAGTGATGTTGTTGACTGAATGTTCATATAACTATCACAATTATAAACTACAATGATAATTATGAGATGTTAAAACTTATTATGTCTAAGACTGATTGACATGTTTGGAAACCATCACAAGCACAAGCAACAAGGACCAAAATGAAAGGTTAACAGTTAATGTGTTCACAATGTTTACATGTTTGGTGGTTACAATGGCATGGTTTCTGCAAGGTTTCTTTGAGGAAGTCTTGAAGTACAATTATTGCTGGATGTCTCCTTGCACCATCAAGAACTAACTTATTACCATCTATTACCTGTAGCACTGTAGTAGTAAGTAAACAATTATCACATTTTTTTTCAACAAGGCCTTTACAAACCATCATTATCCACTGTTGCTGGCAATATAGGATAGACCCAAGGTATGATGTGTATATATGTATATCCCGGTTGGAGCTTGGCTTTGCTTTCTGTTGCTCATATATCCATCACATGTATGTATGGAGTTACAAAACTTGTTCTGCGACTGCTGGATGAAAATTCTGGTATGGACTTGCATTAAGGCATGGATTGCTCATCAAGTTCCGGCCATACCAAGACCAATTATATAGACAGATTATTTGGATATGTTTAACTCCAATGTGGAGATAAGGTGCCTTCTTTGCAAACGTTTCAAGCTCGCAACTGAGAGAACTGCACATGGAGTTGCGGCCCAGACTTTTGTTCAAACGATCGATCACATCCAGCATGAAGATGCACCATTTCTGTCCGACCAAAGAGTTCCCCACCGAGAACCAGCGAACAGATACAGAACCAGCGACGGAGCGAACGATAGCGGTAGCATGCGGAAGTCCCATGAGAGAGAGTCCAAAACGGGAGTCCAAAGGGGACGTCGAACATCTTGACCGTCCCACACCTGCTACAACACAGTTTAAGCATGTGTACGAAGCACGGGAATCATGAACCTCAGGAAGGAAGTCCAGGAGTCGAGACCCCAAATAGCAAGGTAGTATACGAAAAAGAAGGGTGCAGGCAGGTATGATGTCATGCGCATACGAACTGCTGTCCGCAAACAACATGATTGCCAGCACTGCCATCGGCAATGATGGCTTTTTGTACATGTGCCTTCCATACAGTAGGCTGTTCTCCAACACGGTCTAAGGCGGCCCAACACCGCCCGAACCTGATCCAGCATCGTCCCATTATAGGCACATAAAGGCCTAAGATGGCTCAAGATCGGCTCAACATGAGGCCAACATGAAGCCATGATAGCCTAACATGGCTCCCAACACGATTCAACATAGGCAAGATACCGTCAACGTAGCCTTACATAGTCATACCCCAAAACAACGGACCCAAATTCTCCCCCCAAGAGCAACATTTTACTGCCATTTACAGAGTTTTCTTCACTTTTCCAGCATTTTCCAGCACATATAGCAGGCTGCCTTTCCGTTGTTTGTTCGCATATCTTCACTACTCCCTGTGCCTGAATCACATTGAACACATTGATAATTAATAATTGACCCCATGTCAACCAGCCCGATGTAGGTGAATGTTCCACACATGGACCGCCTGGGAAATTCATGCATAGACCACATACACCAACACAAAGCATGAGCCCAGTAGAGCCCAACACACCCGCGTTCAACTACGCATTCTGCGTTCTACTGCGACACCTGCACTGCACGCAGCCCTTTGAGCCTTGAACCCACATCCCCGAACCAGCCACACATGCCCCCACAGGCTCTGCCCCCTACGCCTCAACTGAGGCTCAACAAGACAGAACATGACCCCAGCGTAGCCTCAACATGAGCTCCAAAGAGCATTACCACGAACAACCTAAGCTATTTTGCTTTGTGGGACCCGAAATCGCACCGAAATGGCGAGGTTTGGTTTTTATGCAAATCCATCCCTTTGCTGCAATGCCACCTGCAACACAAATTCGCTCAAATTTACCGCTATTTGCGCATGAAACCCTTCTACCGAAGGTCCCTTGCAGACACAAACCGGGACCCACAAAAAAAACAAAACATACCTTCTGCAAATCAACAATACCTTTTGTGGTGCGCTCGTGCACCCCCCTTACTGCTTCGCTCAACAACTCCCTGTGCTGTTCCAGCGCTTTCCGTCACAGATGCTGGATTCAACAAGTACTCTTTTGATAGATGTACATGTTCTTCAACCATGTCATTTAAAGGTTGAGGATGTTAAAGTTTGTGCACATGGCGTCCGGTCAAAAGTCTATAATCAAAAAATTTAGATGAAGGGGTCGAAAGTAGCTGATCATGTTGGTTTTTCAATTAGATTATGTAGCGGGCCCCCAGCTAAATATGCCTATTCTGCAGCTGGGCGCTAGGTTCGCGGTAGACCTGCGCTAGTGTTTAACAAGTCCAACTCCAATGTATGTTTTTAGTTCTGCTCTGATAACTAGCACCCTCTCCTTGCAGCTGGAACATGGTAGCGCATGATTGAGTGGATGAGTGTTTGAGTAACTGTGTATGCAAATATACCTCATCAGCATGACATTGACCAATCTGCAGGTGCAAGCACAGTTTGCGCAAGTTTTTGCAACGGTAGCTGGTTGTTGTTGTTGTTGTTGTTGCTGGAGTGGTGGAGTTTGTGGAATTTGCTGATCTAATGCAGCTCCTTGCTGCCCAAGCTTCTTTGTGTCAACATGCCTTTCCCTCCCTTGCCGCGTTCGTGTGGTGTCGGGCGATGCCTGGGCGACTTGACGCTCATTTCCCGCAATGGCTACCAGCAGCTCACGTGCAGCCAGGCCAAGCACCACCGTGCATGGTGTGTGCGCAATGCCGATGGTGTCCGCTCATGGGAGTTCTCGACACGGGGAGTCAGCAACCTCAAAGGCACGGCAATTCCAGGCAACGATGATGAACATGCTAAGGAAAACCAAGTAGACCAAGGAACCAGGGACCATGACGCGTCTTCCCAGAACGCTTTTGTGCCTTGTTTTGGTTTTTGCGTTTTGCTTGTGCTTTACGCTTGGCTTTGCTACATGTGCGCCCCCAGAACTCTTCCATGTCTTTGCCCGGTTGCACGTGGGCATGTTTGCTGGTAAGGTGCCACAGCCTGACGGATGTGAAGAACCAGAAGCTGTAATAGTAACTGAGCGTGTTTTGCCACTTTTGGGTTGGCGCTACTAGTTAATTACTACTGAACTTCTGCGACCTGTGGTGTGCTTGTGTGTAGGGTGTATTGTCCTGTGTACTTAGAGGTTGTACCGAAGCTGCGCGGGAGCTTTAGACTTTTCACACTTTGCTTTACCACTTGTTCCCAATTCGTGCGACTAGAAGCGCTGTTTCGATACTAAGTTGTTTTGTTTTGACAGCCTTGCCAAGTCCAAATCTCACAATGAGAACTGAGGCACTTCAACAAGCTTTGCCAGCAAATGCACCATGTGCTTCGCAAACTGTACCCAACATATTTTCAGCACTTCAGCTTGCCAGAGGAAACGCAGGATCAGAAACCGTTAGAAGCATGTGCCGCATACAGTAGCTATTTGAACACCCACACGAAGAACCACCGCCAAGAGATTCTTGCAGCTGGTAAGAGCAGGCTGCTGTTGCAATTGCACGAGCAGGAGGCTGCATTTGAGAACGACTTGCGATGGGTGAAGAAAGTCTTGGGCGCCTATGATTTTCACAGGCGATGCGCTGATCGACAGAATGGTAATTTGGAACGAGGCATCGGTGCACTGCAGCAGCCACAAATTTTGCTGTGGCTGGACTGGAAACAGAATGTGCCTTCAGCTATGAGTAAGGTTTTTTGGTTGGTGATTGTGAAGTGTTGTCAGAGTCTGTGGTTTTTAACTGCTTTTGATGAGTGCACCCAAGGTGACGCTTCCTATCCAACATGTTGCTACTGGGGATTCCTTTTGGGCGCAAGCAAGGGCTGAATGCTCCGTTCTCGGAGTTGTGCTGTTCCTTCCACACCTTGACGGCAGTCTGGTGAAGAGAGGTGTGGTGCTTGTCAGTGAGTGCATAGAGCATACAGCCATAGCTGCTGGTGTTCAATCCAACATTGTGCGAGAGATGCTCGGTAACAAGGCCCAAGGTTCTCACTTGAAAGTGTGGGCAGACTGCGGTCCACACTACAGAAACGCTGACTTTATCAGCTATTTTGGTTTCGAGTGGGTGCTCAAGCTTGATTGCCGTGTCGCACTGTCTTACTTTACAGAGAAGCATGGCAAGGGTGCTGTCGACAGCTTGTTCTCAACAGTGAACCAATGGTGTGGACGATTTGCTAGGAAAGAAGGCACAAGCATTGAATCAGTGCCAGACTTTGTTTCTGCAATGCAGGAGGAGGCCCGCTTGGATCAAGCAAAAGACCCCAAGGGCTTGCAGTACACCATTGTGCACTGGAAAGCACCTTCCAAGCCTGTACAGGCATGGCGCGGTGTGGCCCCAAAGGGGTTCTACATCACCAGGACATATTGCTTGGAAGGCTCAGCTTACTGACTGCAAAGAGACCAATTACATTGGAAGAACCACAAGTTCAGTGATTTGACCAAGGGTGAAACCATCCAATTCCAATTCTTTAAAGAGCCAATTGATGACAGAGAGTGGCGAAAAGGTTTTTTTACGAACCCCAGATGGAAGAGGCAGTTTCCACAAAGACACAGTCAGTCAGCGATTTTGGAGCGACATGCCATGCTCCAAGACCATGATGTGGAGCTCCCTGACAAAGACGACTTGTCCAATAGGCTTGGTAGATATCAACGAGGTTTGCAGATCAAACGTGCCAGAGCATGCTCAATGCCATCCTTGGTTGGTCTTCATTCGACATGCAGAAGAATATGTTGTCACACTGCAAAACCATGAACAATATTTCTTAAAAACAAATAGTAATGAATTTGAGCTCAGCCAGAAAGGCTGCAAAGGCTAAGAGAGGGGGCCAAAGGTTGCCAAATTTGAGCCCTTGATGGAATACAGCATCTGGAGGTGGTACCCCAGATGGCTTTCAGTTTTCTTGTTTTTTTGAATTGCTGCAACCAGGCCTGCAAAGGTCAAGACTCGGAGGTATATTTTGCAATGGCTTTGTCAGGACAGAGGTGACCAAGGCCAAACTTTGTTTCAGAAGGCCAAAGGACAAAGCGCAGCAACAATTCCACACTGGAGACTTTTGGCTGGCCGACTCAAAATATTCAAAATGATCTGGGGTACCACCTCCAGATCTTCTCCTCAGACCAAAGTTTAAGAACACTGTTTCCATTCTCCATTGCTGGCTCTACCCAGCATTCTCTCAGGGGGCCTGCTGAGGCTCCAGGCTGACACCACTACTTCGGATGACTTTAATTTTCATGATGTGCTCAAGTGGGGGACTGCAACAGGCTCTTGGTGAACACATTGCTGGCACCATCCAGTACAAATTGTATTTCTTAGCACTTCAAAGTTCTGGCGCCCCAGTTCTTTTTTTTGTCGAGGTGTGCTTTGGTCAAAGGAACCGCTAGCCCGACTAGTGTCTTTGAAGGCACACATGGAGGCTGAAGAAACCTATTATTCAAATTTGCCCTGGGAGCAGGTCAGCCAACAAATGATCTTTTTGAATGGCATAGTGGGCAGAGCCCGCACAAAGAACAATTTCCTGGGCAGCGCAACCTCTTTTCCACCATGTTGTTCCCCTTGGCTAAACAGCTGCCTCACAAGGTTCAGTTTAGGCATGAGGTGGTTCCCAAGCAGTGGCACCCTGAAAACATGCACTTCTCCAGGCTCCCAAATTTCCGGTAGTAAGTTTCAATGTGGTGATACCCCCTCACCAAATTCAATCTAGGGTTTGTTAGGGTTTAAGGTTTGCAGGAGGTGCCCCTGGAATAATGTTTAAGTTTGGGATGAAAGGTTGTGCCACCAAATCCCTCACAAAGATACTGAAGCCTGATTCCCCCCTTTCAGGAAACAACTTTCCTGTGAGCTTCAGAAACTTGGTTTTGATTCAGCAAGTTTTGCTTTTAGCTGGTGAGCAGCACACCTTGGGCCCCAAAGTTTTAAAACAAATCAATCTTGAGGTGGTACCCCAGATTTTTTGTCAATTCACAGTGGTAGTTTGTTCAGAAAAATTGAAGACTTTGTTGTCGGAGTTAGGGTTTAGGGTGGTGAGGAGGTGGTACCCCTCACCGAGTTCAATCTGCAGTTGCAGTGTTGCCCAAACCCTATTCAGGAGGAAACATGGTTGGCTACATGAGCATCTTGAAGCGGCGCAATTGGAGAAATGCGCAGCTGGAGCACTATTGAGAAACGTTAGCGGAGATCCTTCCAGACCCTGAAGTAGAACATTCAACAGCAAAATGCAAATGGGAAACAGCTGTCTATGTTGCTCATTCCCTGTTATGTTTCTGGCCTTACAAACAGCAGAAACGCTTTGTTTTCACTAATTTGTAGTGGGGTCGAGGTTATCTTTCAACTAACTTGTCCTTGCTTGACAGTGGTGTGGCCACTGTCAATTACTTGGGGCCCGGTTGAATCAAAAAATGTCCATGCGCTCACAAGCAAATGAAGGTGTGGGTTTATTTAAGTGATCAGAGTGCGTGACAACCTTGAATTTGGTCATTGTACATGAAGATACATGAACATTGCACGCAAGACACACTCACTTGTTGGGTTTGCATGCTTTTGTTTAAGTGATCAGAGTGCATGACAACATTGAATTTGGTCATTGCACATGAAGATACATGAAGATTGCGAGACACACTCACTCGTTGGGTTTGCATGCTTTCTTCTGCAGCGTGACGTGAGTGCTTCTCTCGAAACTTGCGGCAATACTCATTGGGCGACAGACATCGACGTTGTGGCTTTGGCCACAGAGCTCAACCTTAGCTTTTCCTTGCTGGAAATGCTTGCCGCGGTCCGAGGAATGGTGGGACAACTTAAGATTGTTCAGAGTTGTAATACATCTGTGCTCGCTGGTGTTTATGAAAAGCTCACGAGGGTTTTGGAATATAATTGGATGATCTAGATAATTCTTCTTGTTGATGCAGGTGAGATGCAGCATGCAACACACCTACTTGCAACGAAACCAGATGCCACAGTTCAATGCAAATGTTTGTCTCGTGACGATGTGGATACGCCGGAATCTCTTCGCCAGTAAACCTGATTTGAATGCGGAACGAAGACTACTGAATGCTACGGAGCTTGGTGGTGGAGTCCCCAGCGCACGATGCCTTGGTGGTGGAGTCCCCAGCGCATGATGCCCCTGGTTTGCCTGGTCAAGTGGATGACGAACCTCGACGTTAGCGTGCTGGACCACAATTAAAGTGACACATCGGTTATGTCTATTCTGCAGACACTCGGTTTGCATACGTAGCTATTCGAACGTGTTTGCAATCGGGTTCGTGGGCTCGATCTTGTTTGAGGTTTATGTACCAAATGTGTCCCAACATGTTAGTTCAAGTCTCTCGCAGTATTGTACTTTATGTAGCGTATTTACATTACATTTTATGTACCAAATGTGTCAAGTCTCTCGCAGTATTGTACTTTAAGTAGCATATATACATTATGTTTACGTACCAAATGTGTCCCAACATTTTAGTTCAAGTCTCTCGCAGTATTGTACTTTCAAGTAGCATCTATACAGTATATATATACAGTAAACTCTCGACATGATCCAATCCATTTCCATGAACTTTTCATCATAAGGCCACCATTGTTGGGTACCCAACATATTTCAACTGTGTCCATGTGGCACTTTTTGAGTTCCCGGTCTGTCGCAGTTTTGGAAACTGTAGGAAGTTCCAGCCTGTTTAAATTTGGACTGAGTTTGGGGTTCCAGTCTTGACCTTAGAAACATACTCAAACTTCAATTATCATTGTATAAACCTTTGGAGTGTTATCAACAATGCAATGCAGCAGCGAAGAACACACTGCTCGTTGCTTGAAGTCCACCACATAGGTAATTTATCCCAATCGATGGTTGTTGAATCCCAGTACTTATGCACCATGGGTCATGGGTCCGCGCTCGTACTCTCATGAGATCATTGCAAGTTGACTGAGGCATCCGAGGACTCAGATAGAAGGTATGCAGCAAAAGGTGGCGCAACAAAAACTAGCGGGTGGACACAAGATTGTCAAATGAACCAATTGACTAGCGTGGCTGTGCGGACGGGAAAGCATTTCATGAATTGGGATTGGATGAATTCTACTGAAATGGGCGGGAAATTTAAAACGGGGATGGGATGGGACAGTGGGAAATGAGATGGTATGGTATGGGATGGGATGGCATTTGGGTAGTGGGCAATACCAAAATGAGATGGGGTGGGATGGATTCTTATGAAATGGGATGCCCGGATGGAATGACTGGAAGAGTTGCTAATAATTAATATCCGAATCTGGCAGTTTGCTTATAAACACGATTACCTGCAGACGATCTAGTTGAGCTAGTACGTTAGCTTTGACGTGTTGTGTGGTGAAGCACCCAGTGAACAATTTGTAGGTTGCTCAACTCAAAATTACTTTACTTCAAGCGGTACCACCCTGAGGGCGATTTGGAGGCAGGCAGGGCAGATGTATCGACTTACTATCCTGACAAACGCATACACAAAGGCTGGGGTATTTATTCAGGAAGGTGTTCTGACGTCCTTGTGGCCATGTGCTCTGACATTGTCCTGCCGTGAGAGTCTTACATGAGTTCTGACATATCTTCTGGCATGTACTTCTGACATCCAACGTGTGTTGTGTTATATGGTCCGACTTTGGTTTTGATACGTGTTCTCTGTGTATTCTCCTATCTGGCATATCTTTTGGCATTCCATCTGGAATATCTGCTGGCACTCAGACAGGCATATCTTCTGACTTTACTTTCTAACTGGCATATCTTCTGATTTCCTTTCTGGCATAGCTTCTGGCATTCCAACTGCCATATTTTCGGACATCCTATCTGATGTTCAATGCGGCATATGTTCTGGCATTCTATCTGGCTTATTGTCTGACATTCTTTCAGGCATATCTTCTGACGTTTTAACTGGCATATCTTCTGACATTCTGAGTGGCACGTCTTCTGACAGCCTTTCTTGTGGCATCCTTTCTGGCGTCCTGTCAGGCATATCTTCTGGCATTCTATCTGGCGTGTTGGCTGCCATTTCTTCTGATGGGCTCCCGCTCTCTGTGGTGCGCAGGTCCACGCAAGCAAGCGCTTGCCCAGAGGAGCTCTTTTTGGTGCGCATGTCCATGCGCGCCCAACCTGACCTGGCGGGCCCGTGCGTGCCCAGGTCTGTGCGTTCCCTGTCGCTACGACATGGCGACATGGCAGGAAGAGTATAGGAGGAGAGAGAAGACGGAGTAACACCTTTTTAAAGTCCAAGTCATAAGACCCTCACCTGGCAGGTGGGGAGCAACCACCTCTTTTGCTGCTGAAGAGTGCTAGCCCTGGCAGAGCTCTTCACACCGGTGCCGTTTCGCCATTCCGCCCGTTTGAGTGGCGTGATGAGTTGCACGATCCGTCCCAGAACGACACTCCTTGTTGAGCGTAT